GGGTGCCGTGGCACAGCAAGGGCCATTACTGGGCCTCAGTGGTGATCCAGAGGGTCGGGATCTTGGGATCTCAGCTGGATCCCATTCCTGATTCTGATCCCATCCCAATCCCAATCCCATTCCCATTCCCATTCCCATTCCCATTCGTGTTCCCAGCCGGTGACGCAGGTGACGTGGCACGGCAAGGGCGATCACTGGGTGATCCAGAGGATCAGGATCCCATTCCCATTCCCAATCCCAATCCCATTCCCAATCCCAATCCCAATCCCAATCCCATTCCCAATCCCAATCCCATTCCCGATGTGTTCCCAGCCGGTGACGCAGGTGACGTGGCACGGCAAGGGCGATCACTGGGTGATCCAGAGGATCGGGATCTCAGGATCCCAATCCCATTCCCATTCCCGTTCCCAGCCGGTGACGCAGGTGACGTGGCACGGCAAGGGCGATTACTGGGTGATCCAGAGGATCGGGATCCCATTCCCAATCCCATTCCCAATCCCAATCCCATTCCCATTCCCAATCCTATTCCCATTCCCGTTCCCAGCCGGTGACGCAGGTGACGTGGCACGGCAAGGGCGATTACTGGGCCTCGGTGGTTCGGAACCCCGGCAGCCGCCAGGTTCTGATCCACCAGAGCAGCCGGCGCTGGAGCCAGGATCCCTTCCGGAAGAGCCCGGGCATGATCCAGTGCGTGCAGTTCCACCCCATCCGGCCTCACTTCCTGGTGGCCTCGCAGCGCTCGGTGCGCGTCTACAACCTCCTGCGGCAGGAGCTCACCAAGAAACTGCAGAGCAACTGCCAGTGGATCTCCAGCATGGCCGTGCACCCCGCCGGTGAGCCAGCGTCCCCCCGAACCCTTAACAAAAACCAGACCACCACGGGCAAGGGTCCCCTAACCAATTAAAGTGTGCGACACGTAGTGAGGAGGTCAGAAAATCACAGCCTGGAAAATGTTCCAGGCTGGAGCTTCTCAGCTCTGTGCCCAGCCCGTGAGCTGGGCCAGATCAAGGCCAGGGAGAATTTCTGCCAGGGTGATAATTGGGTAAAATGAAAAGGAATTAATACCAAGATAGAACCCCTGTTGTGGTGTGTGCCCAGGCCCTGGCCATGGGGTGTCTTCTCTCTGAACCAATCTCCTTTTCTCTGCTCTGGGAGTTGCAGCCATGCCATAAAACCAAGGGTGTTTGTGAATAAACTCTGCTCTTCCTTCCTGTCATGACAGACGCCCATGGAGCTGTGCCTCTTATTTCTGCTGCCCTTAAAGGGTTAAACCCCTTCCCACGGCTACATTAACCTTACAAAGTGCTGTGTTTATTCACCTCCAAAAGGTGTGGCCGCCCCAAAAAAGGTTCTTTGTCCTCTGTTTATTGCCCAAGATTTTACATACAACACATCAGCACCTCCCACCCCACCCCATATCAAAATGAGCCCATTCGTCTTCTTCTCTTGAAATGGGTAAGTGGTCTCGAAATGGGTCAGTGGTCCCGAAATGGGTCAGTGGTCC